AGTGTCTTAAGTTTGGAAATATTTTTGAGAAATTACTCCACAGTTTAGGCGAACATTGAATCCCATATAAACTCAAAGAATTTACGGAATTCATGACATTCATGGCACTCGTATTGAACAGAATTTGTGAACAAATAGATAAATGTCTTAAACATATTTGCTGTGATATATTGGCAATGAATACATCGGATGAAAGTGTTTGAAATCGAAAGCAAAACTTTTTAAGTTTTAAATTATGACAAATAGTACGGAATATCTCATTGACATCGATATTATCTATTACTACCTCTTCGTCACTACAAATGAACAGCTGATCCAATTGCACACATCTGCCGAATAACTCATCAATTAAATTGATATCTATAATAAAATCAGCATTAAGTTTAAGGCACCGAATAGTCTGTGGAAGATATTTAAATAGTAGATCCAGTGATGACCCGGGATAATTTACATCTAACGACTCAAGTCTAGGCAAATGTTGAACTAAACTAATGGCCAACGAATCAAAGTATTTGTATTCATAATAACTTTTAAGCGATAAGTGTTTGACATTTGGTAACTGTTTAGCCATTTGTATCAATTCTTGGACATCCGATGCCATCACTTCAATGCACTCCAAATACAGACCATTGAGTTGCGGACATCGATGTGATATCATTTGGATTGTATTGTAGTCAATACAACAACTCTTTAAATACAACGACTTAATGTTAGATAACTTTGTGAGTATTGATTCAAACTTATGTTGGCTTTCAATCAAATCATATCTGTTATCATTGATTGAGACAATGGCTTCACTTATATCACCCATTAATAAGCTATTGTTTGCATTACAATACCGGGGATTATAGCCAACACTTAAGCAATTCTTGCTTTTGAGAGCAGTTCTCACACATGCCATGAATTGGTGGCAAACAGTCTCTAATCTCACCAATTGTTTGACATTTAATTCATTGAAAATTAGTCTCAAAATATCGTCATTCATAATATAATGTCTTTTCGTATGAATCAATTCACTTGTATTCAGATTTAATTTACGCGATTCTTGAGGTTTACTTTGTCTACACATTTTTGTATTAAACTTTAAGCTTTTTAATTAAATTATAAATTCTTAATGAATATTTTCATACTAACTTTAAGACAAAGTATTAGACTATTTATTAATTCTCAATAAGGGGTATATTTTGTGATAAGAATATTTAAGATATGTTTCCTAGAAATGGGTCATTCCTACGAAACCTCCTAATGTCATGCGATGAATTACATTAGTTATGTGACATTACTGTACTTTACCCTGATATTTTTATGATTCTTATCAGTATTCTTGGCAAAACTCAATGCAATACTTATCTATTGTTTTCCACTTGAGTTATAAACAATTTTTATATAAACATTATATTTACGAATTATATAAATAAAATACTATTTTGTAAATCAACACTTAACTATCGAAAATGTCAAATCAAAAAATTAATGAATGAAAATATGTTAGTAATTCCCTATATTATGGACATTGAGCATAATTAATTAATTAATTAATTAAATTACATCATCTAATTTCATAGTCTATAAAATACTAGTACACCTGTATATTACCATAAATTATTCAATAGTCATAAGATTTCCATAAAAAGTCACAAGTTTATATAAATAGATTTAATTAGTATTGCAAAATAACAGCAAGTACTGATAAAATGTACACGACACAAATGTTATAAACAAATAGATGGTTAAATAACATAAGTTTTAATTAATATTATCTAAAATATTGATTTATATTTAAATATCAAATTAATATTATATTTTAAATTCTGTTTTATACATTGCCCAGGGTACCTGTATTTCAAAATGAGTACACTTTTTTGAAGTGCAAAGTTTTCCCAAATATTCAGACATAAGATAAATACTCTCAAACAGACCAGGATTATAAATTACAGACTATTTGCTTAATTAATAACTACTCTAATAATAGCAATAACCATGCACAATTAGACTTTAATTCTTGCACTGTTCTAATAATTCCCATTCAAAATAACGTGACATACATTTTATAATAGCCCCCGACAACCCNTCACAACACAAGTGATTAGCAAATGATTTATGAATTAAAAGTGAAAATAGTTTACAATTAATAGCAAAACAATTTGATTTACATTTCAATCCCTGATCTCAATATCTGCCGCAAAACACAAAGTCTTAAAACAACTACTTTTACGTGTGTTTTGACACCAAAACAAAACAACAAAAACAGTTGTCGTCTCTGAAAATGAACTCAATTTTGCGAAATGTGTTACAAATGCATAAAAACCAGTTTTGGGTGAGTTTTGGGTTTATTTCGGGGATTTTTTGGGTACTTATCGACACATAAATTGATTTTATTTTCACCACAAGTTGCTAACGAGTCGATCGAGTCTTGAGAAGTGGTCATCAATGGTGTCATCGATGGCCATCAGCGGCTCTATCGGCGCCGACCGCCGCATGTCTTCGGCCACCACATCGACCACCACATCGACCACCACTTCGACCACCACTTCCTCATCGTTGGTGTCGTTGGCGGACACTGTGCTCACCAAAGCCTATGAGTCCCGTAATCCCGATGTATATCACCTGTGAATCAGTTGCCTTATCGTGCGATCAGTCCTTATCTATAACGGTATTCTTGTGGTGTCTTTGCAGTCGGAACTGATGAGACTCTGCGACACGTATTACACGTCCAATAAGGAGACCAAAGACCGGTTCCTATACTTCATCGCCGATGATCTGGCCGTCAGTTCCACTCAAGCCGTCAATGTTGTCCATAACTTCCTGTCCACTAAAGTATGTGATAATTGTATGTCGTTTGTGGTGAACGTCTTGTAAGTGTCTCTGTGTTGTCTCCATTAGACCGCCGATGACTCGGAGGACTTTGTGATGTCTGTCGACAAACTTCGCTCACAATTGCGTCCAAAGTATT